ACCGTCATCCCTGTGCTATTCGCGACTTTCGGCCGTGCGCATACGTGAACGCGCCATTGATCGAATAATGACCGAATTTAACCATCGTAAGTGAGGATAACGATCGGCAAAATTATACGTGGATGTTAAGTCGCGATCTCTGAAATTATGTGTTATTGAATTCGGATAAAAACGGAGATCATTTATCATTCAATTACTGAGCGAAAGATCAACGACACTTATTCGTGAAACATATTGCTTTAGGAATAGACTATGTATATCCATCATTATATCATTGACAAGAATCGACGATTAATCATCATCTAACAAGAAAGAAAACAGCTCTCTATCATTTACGAGGGTTAGTTTCATAAAATGTTCTAGATTTTCTTCCAAATTCGGAAAAATCCAATTTATTTATATGTATACATTCTGCAAAATCGCAACAAGATACGTTTGTTGCGAGTGTATTAACGAGATAGAGGTACGTGCCGTTAGGCGATTGAAACTCCAACTGAATCTCAAATAATGATCGACGCGGCGAACCAACACACAACGGGACGACAAGACTTCGGAAACGACATCGAGCGGAACGAGGCCGGGCGGAGAACGGGGTATGTAAAAGCGCAGAAAGGAGAGGCGGATGACTTCGTGCCGAACGGCACGAGCAGGTTATTCGCAAATGGAATACGTATAGATCGCGCCCGCGCGCCAGATTGGGGACGGTGATCGATGGATGGTGGGTGGATTGGTTTCACCGGAATCGACCGTTAGGAGATTGACCTCTGTCAGGGGTTTCTATTACGACGTCCTCGAGTCCTGCGGCGTACGAAGGAACGAAGGTCGTCCTTTCCCCACGAATCCGCACGGCTTTTCTGCGATCCCTCACCCGCCCCCGCTTTCGTATCCCCCATTCGTCGTCTCGATTTACGCCCGCCGATTTTCACGCCCTTCCCGTAGAACGGAGACGCGTATATATTATACGAGGGAAAAAATCTGACGCCGCGAGCTGACTGAAAGGAGCGGAGCTTATAAAGGCGGTCTCTCGTGCTGGCTCGTCCACAGATTTGTGAGACCGTTTCTTGCAACGTCGCGATAAATGATCGCGTCGGTACCGAAACAGATGCGGCATTGAAATTGAGAGTGATCCGGACGCATCTAACTTTATCCAGCTATTATTTGACAAAATTATAGACGATATTCTCTGTCAAACAAGCTTATTTTTTAAACAATTATCTTCACGTCTTCAATTTCCATTATTAAATCGAGATCTGATTGATTTAATAAAGCAAGGAATCTATTAGTGTCATATAAAAAATTAATTCGGAGAAGAATCTGCGTTAAGATCAACGTTGTGAAAATGCAATTCGTAAAAGTTATGCAAATACCGTGCAAAATTAAAGAATTTTTATTATGTCATATTTTAAACAACGAATCTATGTTACTAATTAATTCTGCTTCTAAGTTTTTTAACGAAACTTGCAAAATCTGGAACAATTTGAACTTCTTCTTAATCATTTGATCGTTCAACAGATTAACAAGTAACTACTCGGATTATATCGCTACTGCGGATATATCGACCGCGAAATTCTCAGAGGGATACAAATCTACTGCTTATGTACTTACGAAACGCTCTGTAGATCATACATCACGAGATTCATCTAAACGAGAGCGCCTTCCGATTTGGCTCGCGGCGTCCTCTAAACTGCCGGCGGACAAAATATTTATCGTCGCATTCGATACGTCGCACGGACATTTCCCGATATATGACCGCGATATAAATTTTCCATGATCAATTCGAAAGAGCCGCTTCCGGGAGATTGGATAACTCGCGTTGTTCCGAGGGTACACGAAAGTCCGTGGATCTTATCGTGCCCGACGATGCATAGCGAATAATAGCCGGTGCGGGTTCCCGCTCGATCGCACGAACTAGAGCACATAAAAGAGAGAAAAAGAGAGAAAGAAAATGAAAAAGAGTAAGACAAAGCGAGCATTTAGACCGAACGATTCTCGAATGATACCGTGTATAACTCGTAACGTAATTTTAATTTCAAATTGCATCGCGTCGTATAATATTGCAGCGTTACGTTCACGGCGCTACTTTATCTTTAATCCCTCAAATTGGACGACCAATTTTCAAAATTATAATAAAGAACGCAAAGATAATATATATATTCTAGGACTTGGCAATATATAAAAAAGATTTATTTATTTTTTGAGATATTTTTTTCTATTTTATGCTATGTATAAATGTGCAATATTGCGCACTTTTATACCCTGAATTTTCTTTCAACTATTAATAGCGTATACCAAGATCTTATTATCATGCTGTAGCGAGCGCCGATAGATTATCGATGTGTGTACATGCCGATGAGGCCACTTCTCACCGCCTCATTATATGTGCGGCCACCATGTGGTCCCGATAACCCTTTTACGTGACGAGACCCGGGCGGAAGTCACACCGCCGTAATTACGGAGATCGGGGGAACAAAATATTGCGAGTTCGCGCGAAATAACCCAAGAGCAAAATGAGTTTCGCGAAGCGATTTGACGAGATTAATCGATCTGCTTTGCTTAATAATTATCGCCGTCCCTCCGCGAACGTGCCATTTGCGGGCGCGATACTTCGCCGCATCTGTTTCGACGGCGCGACTTAACCCAAATTGCTTTCCTGAAATCGATTACAGCCGGTGTAACAGCGTCGCGGCGCTGAATTTCTATTACCGAATACGATTCCGAGTCGAGCCAGCGTCGCGTTGCGCCACGTCGAAAATCCACACGAATAATTTTGACGCACACACGAATGATCGTGGATAAATATTCAACGAGATTTCAATTAACGCTGTACTATCGCCGTATTACTATGTTTGTTACTGAAATGCGACAAAAAAAAACTACAATTTGTAATTATAATAAAAGACGATAAGCTGGAGTCTTATTACTTATTTTTAAGACGGTGCCTACAAAGGTACACAACATCTTTCAAATTTTATCATTTAATCTACATAATGCATTTTCCACTGTAACCAATAATGTTAATGATGCATTACTTGCCATACTAATATTACGTATCATATTTTTATAGTACTTTGAACTTACTTTGAACAATATCAAAAATAAATAAGAAAATATTTTTCTTCTAGAGAAACATTTCTTCTTTAATGGCCACATAGAAAAAGATTAATGGCTAAAGAAAAATTCCACGTAATATTTTGATCCACCCAAACACAAATAAAAAAATATTTTTCTCCCGAACAAGAAACATTTCTGCTTTAATGGTCACACGGAAAAAGAGATTAATCGTTAAAGAGGAAATTCCAAATAATGCATCATCGTTCTTTCAATCGTGCGTCTCGCCGCTTAAATAACGTATAACATACGTAACGTCAATTGAAATCTGACAAAAAGAGTTAATGCCGCGAAATGAACGAACGAACGAACAGAACCCTAGGTTCCAATAACGTTTTAGTATTTTCCACGCTCGTCACCGTTTTGTCAGGGCGTGATTCCAGCACTCTGCCGATCCGCAACGCGGAATCGCACGAGTAAAATAGCGGAATAGAACGGTGCCGACTCGCTCGGGCGCGTCGCTCGTCGACGGCGCTGCGACTGAAGGTGCACCCGCGTAAGAGACGCCCGAGGGATGGAATGAGTTTTCCGGACGATTTAGTCAGGTATTTATTTGGCCTCCCCCGCGCACTCCCCCGCAACGCCCCTTACCGACATCTTCGCGGTTCTCGCTCCCGAGACTATCTTCCGGGAAATGCCTGACATAATGTAGCGTCGTCGAGCTATGCGCTCCTTCGCATCTCTCTCCTCACACCCTTATCCTCCTATTGCTTTTCTGCTTTCCTCGTTTTCCACCTTTCCGTCCTTTCTCTTCACGGTAACGTCAGTGTCTTTCTCCGCGCACGTCCATCCCTCTCATCTATCGATTCCCACGCGAACTTTGAGATGGAGTTGCACTAGCTATCTTTAAAGGAAATATTAGTTATTCCGCTGTTTCGATCTATTTTTGCTGATACATCGATATCTCAAAACACGAATTGCTAATATCGTTGAATACTTGAAAGCAGGAAGAGAATACGGTACGTACAAATATAGAATATCGATCCGATACTATTAAGTGGATAATATCGATCATCCGTAAAAACTAGCCATTCAACCTTGTTATCTTACTGTCTTTATCGCAGGATTATTTTAATTAGAAAATTGATTCAATCAATTACTCATTAATATATAACGTCCGATACAAATTATTGACTCATTTCTTTCTCAATGTTTATCTTCTTCTTTATTTATCGTTTGCATTTTTATCTTCCGGCATATTTCTCTTCATTATTTGTAGAACTTACGGTACAAAGTAGAGGAAGAACGTGAATTTGGAGATAAGCGAAAGATTACAAAGAGTACTGAATAAAGAGAGGAGAGGAGAGGAGAGGGAAAGAGAGAAAGGGAGAGAGAGAGAGAGAGAGAGAGAGAGAGAGAGAGAGAGAGAGAGAATATGAGGGTAGTCTGCAAATTGCCACGCGCCGCATCACTCCCCTGGGATCGTGCAGCCAGCTCTCGTCGAAGAAGCGGCATCGTATCGTGTCGCGTTCATCGGTGTGAATTTCTATCAGTCGCGGTGCTGCGAAACCGCCTTATCGCGCAATAGGGAATCACGCTACGAAACTCGATCACGGCCGATCGTATCGAGCATATCTCTGTGCTGAGATGCTAATATCATGAATTATTGCAACGAGCAACTTTAGGTATAGCGATGTTCTAGATACAACTACAAATGTCCCACCCTCTTCTTTCTTACCGTGTAAAATTTACTTCTTACGATAAAATTCACGCGATTCTATCGTGACAAAATAAAATTTCAGATTAAAGGATTAAGAATGAAATTTTTATAAACTGGAAATCAGATTTTTGGGATCGCTCCAACGATTTCTCGCAGGAGCGTTTCAACACGCACGACTCTTTCTGTACCTAGAATAAAACACAATTATTTTCCTGTGAAATTTAAAACTTACCGAATATCAGGGTGGCGGGTAGATGCGCAGAAGCTACAAAACGTTAACTGACGAATACTTAGTACTCCAGTGACGCGTTTCGCCTGCCAACAGTGGTCCCGTAATATCGCGTGACAAAAGAGTCACAGGCGCACTTTAGACAGCGATTATAAATTCGACACGAATCGCGTGACATACCCAATTGTCTGTAAAAAAAATAATAATAAGTATATAAAGCAAAAATTACAAATATCGTTTACGTTATAAAATGGAAAAATCGAAATTATCCTCTTTCAAAAAAGGCATGTTATAAATTTTTATGTACTTTAGAATTTTATATCATAACATTATAAGGCACAAAAACAAACAAAGTGTACACTTTAATATTAATATTTATTTTGTTTATTAAATTTACAATTTAAACACATCTGCAAAAAATAAACGGCTCTTTTTTTACTTTGTATATAGCGGATATTTCGAAAAGGCAGTTCTATTATTCATATTGGAGCATATTTATCTAGCGAGTTTACCACTGAAAACTGAACGAGCGTCGTTCTACTTTTACCGCGGTTTGCCTAATCGATATGAATTTTTATTTATCGAAGGATTAACGGATCTCATTCGAACGCGAATCGAAATGCGCGCTCTAGCCGGAGAATGGGAATGATCGCGGGTCAGAAGTTTATGAGATCGCACGGGCCGGGAGAGGTTTTCACCACGTTGCAAAAAATTTCCATTTGCGATAATACCCTGGGTTCGCGCGATGGTGCATAACCGATTTTCTCGCTGCTCGCCGTAATGTAAAAAGATAGGGATATAAAATCTCGTAATAACCGTTATACCATCCGCATGCTATGAAACAGGTATCTTTGTCTCTTTCTCTCTCTCTCTC